CCACGACCATAATTATAACAACCACGACCATGATTATAACAACCACGACTATGATTATAACAACCACGACCATGATTATATCACCCACGAATGATTAGAACAACCACGACCATGATTATGACAACAACGACCATGATTATAACAACCACGACCATGATTATAACAACCACGACTATGATTATAACAACCACGACCATGATTATAACAACCACGACTTTGATTATATCACCCAACCATGATTATAACATCCACGACTATGATTATATCAACCACTACTATGATTATATCACCCAACCATGATTATAACAACCACGACTATGATTATAACAACCACGACCATGATTATAACAACCAGGACCATGAATATAACGCCCGAATTCATGATTATAACAACCACGACTATGATTATATCTCCCACGACCATGATTATAACAACCACGACATTGATTATAACAACCACGACCATGATTATGACAACCACGGCCATGATTATTACAACCACGACCATGATTATACCCACGACCATGATTATATCGACACGAACATGATTATAACAACCACGACTATGTTTATAACAACCACGACCATGATTATAACAACCACGACCATGATTATAACAAACACGACCATGATTATAACAACCACAACCATGATTATAACAAACCACGACTCGACTATGATTATAACAGATACGACCATGATTATAACAATAACGAATATGATTATAACAACCACGACCAAGATTATAACAACCACAACTATGATTATGAACAAATCAACTATGAATATCACAACCACGACCATGATTATAACAGCCATGACCATAATTATAACAACCACGTCTATGATTATAACAACTACTTAATTCATGATTACAACAACCACGAATATTATTAGAGTAAATAACTACGACCATGATTATAACAAATCACGACCATGATTATAACAACCACGACCATGACTATAAATAACTACGACTAACTATGATTATAACAACCACGACCATGATTATATCACAATTAATGACCATGATTATAACAACCACGACCATGATTATGACAACAACGACCATGATTTAAATAACCACGACCATGATTATAAATAACCACGACCATGGGATTATAACAACCATTTAATTCATGATTATAACAACCACGACTTTGATTATATCACCCAACCATGATTATAACATCCACATCATTATTATATCAACCACTACTATGATTATATCACCCAACCATGATTATAACAACCACGACGATGATTATAACAACCACGACCATGATTATAACAACCAGACCATGATTATAAGCCTGACCATGATAATAACAACCACGACTATGGATTATATCTCCCACGACCATGATTATAATAAACTTACGACTTGGTGATTATAACAACCACGACTATGATTATGACAACCACGGCCATGATTATTACAACCACGACCATGATTATACCTACTTAATCATGATTATATCGCACACGAAATCATTTACTATAACAACCACGACCATGATTATAACAACCACGACCATGATTATAACAACCACAACCATTATTATAACAACCACGACTATGATTATAGCAGATACGACCATGATTATAACAACGAATATGATTATAACAACCACAACCAAAATTATAACAACCACTACTATGATTATAACAACCACGACCATGAATATCACAACAACGACCATGATTATAACAGCCATGACCATGATTATAACAACCACGTCTATGATTATAACAACCACGACCATGATTACAACAACCACGACCATGATTTTAACAACCACAACCTTGATTATATCAACCACGACCATGATTATAACACCCACGACCATGTTTATAACAACCGACTATGATTCATAACAACCGACCATGATTATATCATCGACCATGATTATAACAACCACGACCATGATTAGCGACAACAACGACCGCTGCAGATTATAACAGCCACGACCGCTGATTATAACAACCACGACCATGATTATAACAACCACGACTTTGATTATATCACCCAACCATGATTATAACATCCACAACTATGATTATATCAACCACTACTATGATTATATCACCCAACCATGATTATAACAACCACGACTATGATTATAACAACCACGACCATGATTATAACAACCAGGACCATGATTATAACAAGCCCGACCATGATTATAACAACCACGACTATGATTATATCTCCCACGACCATGATTATAACAACCACGACTATGATTATAACAACCACGACCATGATTATGACAATCACGGCCATGATTATTACAACCACGACCATGATTATACCCACGACCATGATTATATCGCACACGAACATGATTATAACAACCACGACTATGTTTATAACAACCACGACCATGATTATAACAACCACGACCATGATTATAACAACCAGGACCATGATTATAACAACCACAACCATGATTATAACAACCACGACTATGATTATAACAGATACGACCATGATTATAACAACGAATATGATTATAACAACCACGACCAAGATTATAACAACCACTACTATGATTATAACAACCACGACCATGAATATCACAACCACGACCATGATTATAACAGCCATGACCATGATTATAACAACCACGTCTATGATTATAACAACCACGACCATGATTCCAACAATCACGACCATGATTTTAACAACCACAACCATGATTATATCAACCACGACCATGATTATAACATCCACGACCATGTTTATAACAACCAGGACTATGATTATAACAACCACGATTATGATTATGACAGATACGACCATGATTATAACAACCACGAATATGATTATAACAAACACGACCATGATTATAACAACCACGACTATGAATATAACAAACACGACCATGATTATAACAATCACGACTATGATTATATCACCCAACCAATGATTATAACAACCACGACTATGATTATAACAACCACGACCATGATTATAACAAACACGACATGATTAGCAACAACCACGACCATGATTATAACAACTATGACCATGATTATAACCACTACCACGATTATAACAACCATAATTATAACAACCACGACCATGATTATAACAACCACAACCATGATTATAACAACCACGACCATGATTATAACAACCACGACCATGATTATAACTACCAAGCCCATGATTATAACAACCACGACTATGATCATAACAACCACGAATATGATCATAACAACCACGACCATGATTATAACAACCACGACCATGATTATAACAACCACGACTTTGATTATATCACCCAACCATGATTATAACATCCACGACTATGATTATATCAACCACTACTATGATCATAACAACCACGACCATGATTATAACAACCACGACCGTGATTATAACAACCAAGACTTTGATTATATCACCCAACCATGATTATAACAACCACGACTATGATTATAACAACCACGACCATGATTATATCAACCACTACTATGATTATATCACCCAACCATGATTATAACAACCACGACTATGATTATATCAACCACTACTATGATTATATCACCCAACCATGATTATAAGAACCACGACCATGATTATAACAACCAGGACCATGATTATAACAACCAGGACCATGATTATAACAACCACGACCATGATTATAACAACCACGACTATGATTATATCTTCCACGACCATGATTATAACAACCACGACTATGATTATAACCACGACCATGATTATGACAACCACGGCCATGATTATTACAACCACGACCATGATTATAACAACCACGACCATGATTATAACAACCACGACTTTGATCAAAACCACGACCATGATTATAACAACCACGACTGTAAACGCCATAGTTAAGGACGTTCAGGTGACGGGCAAGTCGAAGGGAATGATTGAAACCCGTCTTTTGACGCATTCACTATTTATTGATGTGGTCAAAACCTACAGACAACAAGGCGTTCATTAGTATTACATGGTGATCTATCTCATACATAATTAGTTAGTCTCACACAATTTATCTTAATTATAATTGATTATTGAGCATAATGACATGATACAAAGTTCATAACTCTATTAATCTTAGCTACACTTCATTCCGCGGTGTCTTATTGCTCCAGATAAGGCAGGAACGAGTGGGCATAATTAGTCCACAATGTTTCAGTACTGAGGGGTATGTCATCACTTTGGCTGTACTTACAAGTGCGGGTCAATGCGAACCAGTATGGTGTTCTAAGGGAAGATAGTTCTGTGTAAATTGTTTCAGTACAAAACTCGGCAAGGATTGGGAGTTGTTGTTCACCACTGCTAGCAGAGTGTTGATCCTCACAGCATCACTTGAGGGGGCAGTTTCCTGGAGTTCAGGTGGCCACACCGCCTTTTAAACCATACATTAGCAGAGTCATGATCTCTTCACCGTAAACACCGCCCACCCCCTAATCTTTGTTGGGTAAGGCAGCAAAAACGTCAGCACTGACACTAGTGTTGACGCCAGCGATGAAAACACTCCCGGCGATGCCAGCACTTACGCCAGTAGCGATGACAGTCCCGGTGGTAAAGAGTCCAGGTGGCCACGCCGCCGTAAACACCGCCCACCCCCTAATCTTTGTTCGGGTAAGGCAGTAAAAACGTCAGCACTGACGCCAGCGGTGAAAACACTCCTGGCGATGCCAGCACTTACGCCAGTGGCGATGACACTCCCGGCGGTAAACACCTCCCCCAGCTGCCACATCTGTCGAGGTAACAGGTCGCGTGGTGGGGGGCATCACTCGAGGGGCAATCTGTGTCATGAGATCCATGACACCCTCTCAGCGTCAGCGCTCACGCCAGTGGTGATGACACTCCTGTTGGTAAACACCGCCCCCCCCCCCTCCAGTCGCTACATCTGTTGTGGTAACAGGCCGCGTGTGGGGTGGGGGAGACACATGGTTGTTGACACCAACGATAAAGCCAGCGGTGATAACACTCCCGGCGTTGGGCAATCGCCCAAGATTTACGGTGTGGCGTGTTCAAGAAGGCATACACGGGTCACTGGCCTTCGGAACTCCCCAGATACTGTTTGCACACGCACCTGGCGCACCAGACCATCAGCTCCTGGGACCACTGCCGTGACCCTGCCCAATGGCCATTTGTTGCGAGGAAGATTTTCCCCAGTGACGAGGACGAGGTCGCCTTCCTGTAGATTTCGGGTTGGTTCTATGTACTTCTGTCTTTTGCAGAGGAGTGGAAGGTACTCCCTCACCCAGCGTTTCCAGAAGCGTTCTGCTAGGAACTGCACGTGCCGCCACCGTCGTTGATACGAGTCCTTCAGAAGACATCCTCCTAGTGACAGATCAGCGTGTGGGCCACCGTGGAGGATGTGGGCTGGTGTAAGCGCTTCCAGGTCCCTCACGTCGCTTGAGGCAGGGGTGATGAGTCGATTATTTATGATTGCTTCCACTTCACAAAATAGCGTCTGCAGTCGATATTCATCCAGGACTTGGGTCCCCACAATTGCTCTGAGAACCTTTCTGACTGTTTGGATTTGCCGTTCCCAGACTCCTCCCATGTGTGAAGCCGCTGGAGGGTTGAATACCCATTCTATATCTTTCTTCTGAAAGTGTCTGTTTATGCGTTCATCATTCCTCCATCTACGCACTGCCGCACGGAGTTCCTTGCAAGCGCCGACCATGTTGCTGCCATTGTCTGAACGAATACGTTTCGGAGTCGTACCCTTTCTGGCGATGAAGCGGACAGTAGCGTTTAGGAGTGCATCTGTATCTAGAGACTCCAACACCTCCAGGTGCACTGCACGAGTAGCTAGACAGGTGAATATGCAGCCATATCTCTCGGTACTCTTTCGTCCTTGTCTTACTGTGAATGGGCCAAAGCAATCAGTGCCCGTGTAAGTGAAGGGACGTTCCCTGGGCTTGGTCCGGTCATCGGGTAGCATGGCTTCCATTTGCCTAGTGGGTTTCCAATTGTTACGGCGGCAAGTGACACACTCCTTTATTATCTTATCGAGCAGAGGGCGGCAACGGGCTATCCAGAACTCACACCAGAGTATGGACAGTGTATGTTCTCTCCTGGAATGGCCAGCGCCAACCGCGTGTGCTTCCCGCGCTATAATTTTGGTTACTGGGTGGTCTCTGGGCAGTAGTATTGGTCCAGTTCTTTCTTTGGCATCTTGTAACCTTCCTCCTACTCTGAGCAGCCCGTCTTGGCCTAGGTATGGCTCTAGTCGGTACAGTTGACTTTGTCGTGGCAGTTGTCGGTGCTTCAGGAGGCTCATCTCCTCACCATAGGCCTCCTGTTGCAGGAACCGAATAATGGCCCACTTGGAATTCCGCAGTTCAGGCAATTCCAGCGGCTTTGATGTTGCACCCTGAAAGTCGTGTCTCAGGATGCTGGATACTCACCTGATCCAGGATACACCTCTCTGCAGCGCATGCCATGATGAGTACCTGTTCCATAGCAGTTTCATGATGGCATCAGCATTATTTCCTGCTGTGGCTAATGACACCGCCTCGAGCTTAACCTCTGGATCATTCTCAAGTTCGTGTCTGATTTCTGGTCTTTTCGGCCAGTACTCCTCAAGTAGAGACAAAAAAGAAGGACCATCAATCCATCTGCATTCTTTTAATATGTCTTCAACAGGTATGCCTCTTGTAGCATCATCTGCTGGATTCCATCTTGATCGTACATGTCTCCATTGGGCCTTTTCCGTGACTTCATGTATAGCTGAGATCCTGTTGGCAACGAAGGTATGGAAACGTTTCTCTAGGTTACTGATGTACATGATCACAATCATACTGCCAGTCCAGAACACGGACTCTTCAAGTGGGACTCCAATTTCACGCTTGATTGTCTGGTCTACTCTTGTCGCCAGGACTGCTGCACAGAGTTCTAGCCTTGGGACCGTTAGCTGTTTGAGAGGGGCCAGACGAGCCTTGCCACAAACGAAAGAACATCTGGCATTACCTTCATTATCTACTGTCCGTAGGTATGTTACAACTGCATAGGCCACTTGTGAGGCGTCACAGAAGTGATGGAGTTGCGATGAGGTGGCACAACCCAGGCCCCCAGGTCTGTAGCAGCGAGGAACTTTGAAGTTTCGCAGTGATTTCAAATCTTCAAGCCAGCGCAACCACTTGTGAAGGTTTTGCTTGGTGATGTCTTCGTCCCAGTCCTTCTTCCGCCTGCATTCGTCTTGAAAAATGAGCTTGGCTTTGATGGTGAAAGGGCAGAAGAATCCTAAAGGGTCGTACACCGAGCTTACCACTGCAACTAAGCCCCTTTTTGTCGCTGGTCGGGTGGGAACCTGAACCTTTGCTGCAAACTGGTCTCCATTTAGGTCCCACATGACTCCCAAGGCTCTCTCCGTGAGTAGGTCTTCACATCCCAGGTTCACTTCCTTCACTCCAGTATGTCGACTTTCAAGTGGTATCGTGTTAAGGACCTCTTTGTTGTTGCTGATCCATTTTGTGAGTTTGAAACCTCCCAGGGATAGAAGATGTCGCAACCGCCGAGATATCATAATTGCTTCTTTTGGTTCAGTTACTGTTAGGAGCAGGTCGTCTACATAGAAGTTTTATTTCGCTCTATTTACGGCATCCGAGAACCCATCTCCGAAGTCTTGGAAGGTTCGTTGCAGAGCATAGACCGCGCACGAGGGACTCCACACTCCTCCGAAGAGATACACTGTCATCCTACATGTCATTGGCGTTTGTGCCAAATCTCCACCTTCCCACCAGAGGAATCATAAAGTGTCTCTTTGCTCGGGGTTTACCTTCACTTGATGGAACATTGCTTCGATGTCGGCCATCAGGGCGATCGGCTCTTGTCTAAACCGCATGAGTACTCCAATCAATTTGTTGTTGAGGTCTGGTCCTTGGAGCACTTGATTGTTGAGTGAAATCTTCGTGAAGGCTGCTGCACAATCGAAGACGATCCGTACCTTGTCTGGTTTATTGGGGTTTAGTACTGGGTGATGAGGCAGGTACCAGCTATTTCCACCAGACTTCGATAATTGCCTTAGTGGCACCCTTTCGGCGAAGCCTTCATTGAATAATTTTTTCATCTCCTCCTTGTACCGTAGTCTCAACCTTCTGTCCCTCGATAGGCGTTTCTTTAGTCCCAGTAAGCAACGCTCGGCGAGCGCTCTGTTGTCAGGTAGACAGGGCGGTTGACGTCAGAATGGAATTGGGAATTGGTAGTGTCCCTGTACTCTCTGTCCAGTCGACGACCAAAGCTTGTTGACCCGTTTATCCTCTACTGATGATGGGGAGCCATCTCCCGGGGTCTGGTGTAATGCTTCGATTTCCCAGAAGCGCCTCACCTGCTCTTCCAAACGAGTTTTTTCTGAAGAGGCAGTCAGCATGGAACATTTCGTTGTAAACCTGTGAGTTAAATTGCCCATCAGGGGCCCCTTAATCGTCCAACCCAATCTTGTCCTTATTGCAAAAGGTGCTCCATCCGGCCCCGTCCGACACTCGAGGGGAGTCAGGGCATCTGGGCAATCTTGTCCAATCAGTAACTCTGCGACTCGTCTGTTTGGTGGAAGTGGAGCAAGTCCTCGAAGATGTCCCCAAGCATCTATGTCTAGTGCTGTAGCTGTTGAGTTTTCTAAAGAAGGTGGCAGTGTCAAGTACTAGTACCTTAGGAAGGGATATGGGGCACTTCGTTTTCCAGGTGTTAATGCCTCTTACGTCCAGATCTACTTCTGTGGTGTTACATTGTTCCCCTTGGGTTAACGTGTTTATGAAGAGTGATGTTGGTTTCCCTCGTATTCTTAGTGTTTCGACCAGTCCTTTGGTACAGTAAGACCTGTCGCTGCCTGTGTCCAGTAGCGCCGTGGTTCTCTCTGATCCTGTAAACCCCTTTCCCATTACTTGAACTTCTAGTAGTAGGAGCGCGACCTTGTCTTGGCTTAGTCATTGATCTCGCCCTCTTACAGTAGTATCCACGTAATTCACATATGTCCTCTCTCCTTGCTTGTTGTCGGCTTGGTCGAACCGCCTCAGCTGATTGCCTTGGTCATCTTCTTGGGGCTCTCTCTTTCTATTCTTTCTTCCTCCGGTTCCACCACTCTGTTCTCTATCTTCGAAGTCACAGTCCTGGCGCTCTCTCTTGAATCCTCGGCCTTCCTTAACGTCAGCATCTACCCTATTCGATTTTATGATCTGGCGGCTGCTCCTGCCTTCCTTGGCGGCACACCTGCCCCTTCCTTTGGCAGGTGGAGCCATCTTGACTGTGCCTTACCACACCCGTCGATATCGATTGGGCGGAAGCCAGACATACAGTTGCTAGCTTGGTGCCGGCCCCTTAGGCACAAGAAGCAATAGCCCAACTCTTTGACTGTGTTCCTTTTTTCCATCTTTGTTAACTTCCGGAAGTTTCAGCATTGTGGCAGCCGATGAGGGCCATGACAAAGTGGATAATCTCATTCTCCCATGTCGTTGGTCACAAGTGTCATGGCTTGTTTGCTAGATCGGTCTTTTCCCTCGTACCTCAAGCTAGTGTATTAAGTATGCGCCCTTTTTGCCTCCTTCTCTCTGCTTTGTATGAACTGCCAGATGTCCCTTATTTTCATGTGGCCATATCTCTTTGGATGGTGATCGAGGACTGCAATTTCATACCTTTCTTGTAAACGACCAGGAAGCCTTTCAATTATGTCTTTTTTTACGAGGAGATGCTCGAGGGTTTCTTGTGAGTCCATGGACTCGAAGCTGCAAATGCATGCCTGAAGTTCGACGGCCAAGTCCTGCAGGCCCTCGCCGTTGGTTATTTTGACAGGTGGTCCGTTGATCAGGTTCATCATTAATTCTTCGATATGGGCGTCCTCATCACCATACCGGTCCTTCAGGGTACTCAGTGCCTTTCTATAGCCCTCAGAGGACTTCATCCTGGTGAATGGGTTCAGAACATTCCGAATATTAATTGAACACGAGTGGATTAACATTTAAAGTTTCTCCAAATCTAATCATCTAATTTAGAAAGTGTAATTGGTAAATATTGAGTTTTATTACGATTGAACTTAACCAAGTTTGTACCTCTCCATTCAGAGATGCTGCACAGATCCGCGTTGATAGAAGTAATGATATCAGCTCTAGAAACAGATCTAGTTTGAGAGTTAGGAGGAAGGGAAAAATGTGAAGAAGAGTGAAGAGTAGAATCATCAGCGTAAGAATTGATAGAATTAGCTGTACATTAGTGTGAAGTAAATCATTGATAAAAAGAAGGAAGAGAGTAGGTGAAAGAACAGAACCCTGTGGGACACCACTACTGGTAGAGAAAGAGCGAGACTGATCAACTCTCTCTATTCTGTTGTGTCTTGTGATGATTCTTCCTTTCTTGATTAGTGTTTCAATATGTGTGTGTCATCTTGGTTTTGTACGATTATGTGTATTTTATCTTGCCTTGCCTTATATCTGTCAACAGTCTTTCTGTTGAGAATATGGGGGGGGAGCTGTAGTGGAGAAAAATCGTAGACCAGTTTCATACCCTAGGTCTTCGCTCTATGTGGTCTTTCTGGGTGAAGGTGGTGGTGGTGCCATAGTTCCTGCTTGATTCTTTTTTGGGGTGATGAATCTGGCAGCTTGTTCTGTTATTGTGGTGGTTTCATCTTCGTTTTCGCCATCCATCGTTTCCTCCTCGCTTGCTGGCTGGGGTTGTATGTCTGAGATAGCCTGTTCTAGGCCTGTTAACTGCTGATTCTGTCTAGGTTAATGAGGCTGGAACATTTATATTATATAGGGTTTTAGTAGCGAAACCCAATTGTCTGTTATCCATTTATTCAGGAACTATCTAGGATACAATTCCAAGTGTAGATTACCATAATTTATCACTGTAGCTATGAGTGTTAAGAGAAGGACGGAGGCTATGTTAAATAGACCTGCTAAATACGTCCGTTCGGTGTGAGGGGTTGATTAACAATGCGGCAGGCTGCCGGCCTTTTAATGCTGACTTTAACAGTAACTAAGCCGCGCCTCAAGGAACCTGCCCATCACGTGATATGATCATGTCACCTCATAGCCAGTGGAAAGTTACAGGGGGTAATATGATTATATAAAGACAATGTACTGCCCTAACATATATATAAAGACTAAGGGGATGATACATCGCTCGGTCACCACCTTCCAAGCTTCCACGAGGAATAGTCTAATCTCGCAGAATACATCCTATACATAAACCTAAACATGTTAAAAAAACATATGTGTAAACACTAAGCTAGGGACTCTGGAACTGGAGGTTTTTCACCAACTACTGGGGTCCTAGACTGAAGTGTCTTACGGGCTAGTATCTTATGTACAATGTTCAAATTGAGAGATACTGAATTAGAATAGCAGAACATAAATATCACTGCCAGAATTAACACTATAGTGGGAATGGTTAAACTAGGTATTGCAAATCCCCGTGCTAAATAAAATGGCAGATCATTTAAATCAGCAAATTGTGACTCTTTCAAGTAAGAAATAACTGTCAACTTCTCAGAGACAATATTAAGTTCACCAATAGTGAAATTCCGTACTTGAAACATGGAAATCAAATCTGAAGTAAGATTTAAATTCTATGCAAAATGATGATGAATAGGCAAGGTTTTCAACGAACTACAAGTTATTTCACAGTAATCCGGAGCCTATTAATAACCTTTCACAACTAACTGCTTACCACCATCATGGCATTTTAAAATGACGTTAGTTTCACCAGGAAAGAAAAAATACTGCACATTATGTAGATGCGCATGAAACACAGTTTTCCTAGTAATTGGCCTATAACTACATTGTGTTAGCGCTAAACATACGTTAGTTTGTATGACTGCCAATTCACATATCCCTTCTGCAGCAGGAATAAATGCGAAAACATAGGCTGGACATACGAGTAAATGTAAATATGACGATTTACACCCTGATAATACCCTAGGATCATCTAATGCTAGCAAGGTATATTCTTCATCTATAAGCAAAAGTTCTTTCGGTCTATCCAGAGTATACAGTGTGTGTCATTATCATACCAAGGGAAAGGTTCCAAATGTCATGCATTAAATTTATGTTGCCTTAGCATAGGTATGTGGATAAGGATAGCATTGTGCGTGAGAGTTGACTCCAACAGAGGGTAATAGTATTCTACCTCATGATCTGGGAAAATTGTAGTTAAATGATACATCAACTTGGCTTCTTTAATGCTTCAAGAAGAGTCTTCACAGGCACAAGCTTTGCATCCACTCGTCCTAACCCTGCATCCATGATGCTTGCGATTAGTTAATTTTCATTAGTAATTATATCTTGAACAGAACATTCCGCGGCATGCAAATACTCAGAAAAAAAGAGGAGCCACTCCAACTTAGGGACTGAATTCATCAATTTATACTCAACCCTAGATAAGTGGTTAGACTCCGAAATTATTGCATTAACTTTAGATTCCAGGGCACTAATTGCATGAAAAGTTTGAGTAATAACACGATTTTGTTTAGATACAGCTCAAGTCAAATGAAATTTAACATTATTATGCCTATGCCTTAATGTTCATAACACATCA